GTGACGTCTACTCTCAGTCCTCTGAGCTTGCTCTCTCGGGTGAGTATGGTGCGCTGATGGCCTTTGGTAGAGGAGTGAGGTTGAGGGTACAGAGGGAGTGGGGGGAGGGTGGGAGGGGTAGCCCACCTCCTTCAGTGGTGGGCTATGGATGACGGGATGTAGATTGTCTTCCATGGTCAGATGACAGTGTTCGCTAGTGTTACTTTCGGTCTTATTCCGCGCGGCGGGTTGGTAGGTCTGTGTATCGATAGGGGGATGTCGCGTCTCAGCGGTCTAGGGACGCCGGGCGGTGGGCGCCCAGCCGATAAGGCCTGCCGCGCCGCCGTGACGTGACGGACGAATCAATCTCGACCCGTCACACCTGCCGCGCCCGTCAGTCGTCACAGCCGTGACGCGTCACGCCGCGGGACGCTGTCGGCAGTGACGGCACCGGTTCTCGGTAGGCGACCTCGGTCTCTGTGCCGCTATCGCGCTCTCTTCCACGGACCCGGGGGAGCGGCGGGAGAGGGAAGGGGAGGGAGGTAGCCTCTCCACTTGACAGACTCCTCGTTATATATCGCATAACCATAGGTATATCGTTCGACCAGCTTTCATTATTCCCACCGATCGCGATCGGGACTACCGCCGTCCGGAGCGCCGTGTGATGACCAATGACCATCCATGCGGCTGCCGTTCAGTTTTCCCTGTTGGCGTCTTGCACGCGGCGGCGTGCACCGGGCTGACACGGTTGACAGAGTTCGCTAACCGCAGCCCACCAGGCAGCACCGACCGACCACAACTGCGCAGCGGAGCTCGACCTTGGTGCAACGACAGCCGGCAGCCTGTCCGTGTGCCAGCCCAGCGCCTCGGCTGAGCTTATTTGATATACAAGCCGAACAAAGCTGGCGGTTCCTCTGGCTTCAACTATCCGAGCTGCGTCGCGATGACGGGCGGATGATAGCTGCGTTTTGAGCCACCGCTGTCATAAGGTATGGCTTTAAAACGACTGGAAAGATCAGACAGCAGACTCGTCGGCAGACTCACTATTCGGCAACGGCGGCCATTTTGACCATTGTCTGCTGGGCTAGTTGACGTCGAACCCACCGAGTGGGACGGACTGGCACCGGGACCTCACCAGTGGCCATTCTTATAAAGAAAAGAACGGAGGGACGCTCAGTCATTTCTGAGATTAGACGGAATTTGGTTATCATAAAAGGACGAAGACGAAAGACGGAACCTGTTAAAAGAACGAAGCCAGATTGACGCTACCCCCACCCAAAAGGACGCGTTTCCGTATCATAAAGAGACAAAGACGCCTCTGGTGACGTAAGACTTTGCGTTATTCGTGAAAAATAACGCATCAGAAATAGCGCTGCTCTTCAGCAGCGCTTTTTTACGGCATTGATACGATATTTAGCTGGTTGCGAGAGCAACTTGTGCGAAATGTGTTTCAGGCTGCATGCTAATCGATATGTGAACTGTATGACATTGGTCGGGAGTTATTTCGCACGAAAATTAGTCAATTTGACATGCAGACCAAATACCTATAGACCGCCACCTTATCGTTCTGCAGCTATCGTTGTTTATGCGGGCATACACATTAACAGGCAGGATTGGACACCTTGAGATGCAATATCCAGTAAGTGGTAGGTGTTTACTGTTTGCAACTGCCTCCCAGTAGCTCCACCCTCACCTGGCCTGTGTCCTGTGTCCTCTGGCGCCTCGACTGGTATCACGGTTGGAGGTCCGAGTCACGTGGCACTACAACTTCTCGTTAGCACTTAAAGTTCTTGTTTGCACGCAGATAAATTCGTATACACTCCGCCAGGCTCAAGCGCTCTCGCTGGACTGTCCTCGCTGTCCCCACACAGAGAAGATCCACAGGCCATTTCTTCCCCCGCTCCCCCTCCCCCCTCTTTAGCGTCAGTTCGTCAAAACAACACCTGCGCCCCCCGTCTCTCTCTCTCTCTCTCTACCTACTCCTTCCCTCTCTCTCTCCCTTTCATCCCGAACCGCCGCGCGCGTTCGCCGCGCGCCGCGTCGTCCCCTAGAGCGATAAGATGCCTTATCAGTATCCCCTCTTCTTTTATCTCTACCGCCTGTCCCGAGCCGCCACGCTAACTCAGGGTGTCTGCGTTGTTCCCTTACCGCTTATTAGACACCTATCACTGAGTAAGACATAGGCATTACCACATTTATACGCAAAAACAATCTTTGGTGGGTTTCAGCCTAGCAGGAAAGACTACAACATATTACATACTTCGCCTATCTATATTATCCTTGATCGTAGCCAAGGCTATGTATCGTAGCAGACAACAGCCCCCGGTCCCATAAAAATTCAAATATGATCCCAAATAATTGCAGGTTCTCATTTTATTATACCTATATAGCAATCACACAGTATTTTCTTAGTCTTATTGCATTCTTTGTGACGAAATTTATAAGAAAATATTGCAGGAAATAATTCCTGTTTCATTTACTAAAGCTCTTGATCATTTAGACGAAAAACGCATCCTAGCAAAACAACGAAGGGGGAGGGGTAGAGGGACGGAACCTTTATGATAACCAATAAGGACGGAATCGTTTAATTCATTGAGTTCTTTTTTTCCTTCCGTCCCTCCGTCCTTTTTCTTTATAAGAATGGCCTCAGGCCTCTCGTCCGCTGTCAGCGTCTTATGTCGCTTGGTGGAGGGTCTCTAGTGTCGGCGTCGGCATCTGGACCGCTGTACTGTAACCCTTCAGAGCCGGGGCAGCTGGCCAGCCGCCGCTGCCTCACGCGGCTCCGACATGTGACACGGCCCGCGGCGTAGCGTCCGACGGACTTCCCATGCCGACGGCTGAGCGCACAGCTGGATTATTCAGCTTACGACGAACCACCGGCCACTTCAGGGCCCGCTCTGAGACCTGAGTCACGTCATGGCCGCCATCACGATCTCGGGCAGGATTAACGGGGAATCTATTATCACTCCGACTATTTTTGTACATCAGCGAAAGTATCGTGCAGGTTCGGTTCTCTTGAGATTCCCACTTCATCCGTAACTGGTGACGCCGCTCGATTTCTGTCCGCATGCATTTTCAATGATTGTGCACAGTGGACAATGTACTGTAGTTTTCCTGATTCCGGTGTGTGAGCAGAGAATGTCGCCACACTTTCCGCCGGATCCGCCGCAGTGAGTCAGTCCAGTCGGTAGTCGGTGTCGTCATAGTGTGTGTATGAGACCTAAACCAGTGCCCCGGCTCCCCAGCAGGGCTCGGTACCGGCAGGAGGGGAGAGGGGGCCCGTCACGGTCGGCCGGGCGGCGCGGTCCCTATCGGCGGAGACCATCACCGGTCTGGTCCGGTCCGGTGACTGGTCCCTGCCGGCGGGCGGTCCGAGACGGTCCCCACACCTGCCCGGGCGGCATACCGGCGCTCCCCGTCCGCTCGCCCTCTCCCCCTCCCCGCCGACCGTTCTTGTAAACTGACAAAACACGAGGGAGAAAAGAACACGGCTTCTATAAACATCCTGAAACGGTGGCATGTGCGATACATAAAACACTCCCAAGAAGCCTGTGGGCATCTTTCTGTTCCTAAGCTGGAAAGGAAAAAAACCTGAATAAACAAAGGCATGTGGTCAGTATCGCCGCCGCGGCGGCAGCCGAGTTCCATCCGTTTCGGTGAGCTGGCTGGCGGTTTTTGTGGCCGCGGCTCGAGGCCGTGTACCGGCCTGTGGCGGCCGATAGACCGGGGCAGAGTCCGAGGGACCCGCCGGCTGGTAGGATCCCGCTGGGTCGGAGAGAGTCCCGGTCTATCAATCGATGACCGGTCGTGCTGATTGCCTGGAGAGTGGGTCCGGTATCTCGCCGGAACACGGTCCTGGTGACGTCACCCCACTGCAGACCAGTGACGTCATCACAAAGGTCAGCGGCGGTGACGGGTGGCAGGAGGCCAACAGGATTATTCCGTCCCATTCCCAGAGGCGGAAGTCCAATCCGTCTTCTGGGACGAATCACTGCAGAATTTACCGACCGTGAACTCTAGAAGTCTCAGTCTTGATTATTTCCAAAGTTCAATATTTGCCAGTTAATTACGTCGCGCTCAGCGCTATCGAATGAGGCGGTGTTGGCTCGGCTCGGAGTGGGCCCATCCGTTGTCGGTCCGGTCGTCATTGGTCCCACGCCGGAGCGTCTCGGCCGCCTGTCGCGCGGCGGACCAACGCTGATGGACTCGGGTCGTTAGGTCGCCGTGTAAAATACGGCACCGTTTTTACGGCCGCTCACGGGCCGCTATCGCCGGCGCCGTGTGGCGGCCGCGCGCTGACGTCGACCCGCTATCGGCACCGGCGGCAGGTGCGGTGTCCCTCGGCCGGAGACCGGTCCGCCCGCCCGCCCGCCGCTCCTGTCGCCGGGGCGCCGTCGAGTGGCTGGGTTCGCCACGGCGGTCGTGACCGCGCGGAGTTTGTGGACTGGGTGAGTGTTTACGACTGGACCAGGTGTCTGCGGCCGGTCTCATAAACCACTGGCCGTGGCCGGGCCTCTCCTGGGAAAGTCAGCCGCTGCGCTCCCGGCGTTCAGGCGGTGAGATAGCGTCTGGCTGCCCCACTTCTCAGTCACGCCATATGGGTCAGCGGCTGCCGGTTACGGAGCGGTGGTCCTGAACGGCCCCTCCTCCCAAGGCGGAGAGCCCGCCCCGCGGCACGGCCGCCGCCCGTTCAGCGTTTATGTGTGTGTTTGTGCCCGCGGTGTGTCGTGTTGTCGGTCCGTCTGGCGCTGTTATTTCGTGTCGTGTTCGTGCCTTTGTTCGAGCCGGCTGCTGGCTGAACCGGTTGGAGCGGCCACCGCCGACTCACCGGCGCGCAGCCACGTGCAACTGGTGCGCCGCGCGGCCTCAGAGAGCCTCGATCAATATTGGCCGCATGGCGCGCAGTGGGGCGCGGCGGCTGTGGCTCGGCGCCGCCGGAGCCGGAGCCAGAGCCGGGGACGGGCGGGTCGGTGGAGACTGGAGAGACGGGAGTGTGACCCGCGCTGTTTGTCTGTTTGCAGGACGCCGGAGCTGCAGCCACCCGCGTGGCGCGGCTGTGACAGTGGACGTGCGCCGGCGTATGGCGCTCGGCCGCCGCGCCTCAGTGCAGTGACATGGCCGAGGACTTTTCCAAGTCGCGCGCGGCGCCGCCGGCCGGGCCGCGCGCCTATGAGCCGCCGCCGGCCGGCTGGCGGCCCGGCAAGCCCAACTCGCCGCTGACTGGCGAGCGGCCGGACAGCCGCGGCCAGGCGCCGCCGCCGCCGCGGCCGTACCCGGCGGGCGCCGGCGGCCTGCCGTTGCCGCACCCGTTCCCCGGGTTGCCGCTGACGCACCTGATGCAGCACTGGGTGCCGACTCCGGTGTCGCGCGCCGGACTCTACCAGCTGCCCGGAGCGCCCGGCGGGATTCCAGTGGCCGAGGAGCTGCTGCAGCAGCAGCTGGAGCGGGATCAGCGTCTGCTGGCGCAGCACCGGCAGCAGCAGGCGCAGCAGCAGCAGCCGCCGCCCATCTCCAGGTAAGTCCCACTCGCTGTCGGAGAGAGTTGTCGGGTGTCCCAGCTGCAGTATATCGGACACAGTCGCGGGCTGTGTCTCCGCCGCGGTCTGCTGGTCGGACGGGCCTCGCGGTCGGCTTGCCGAGCGGCCTGGTGTATAAATAAACACAGCAGCGTCCGTCGGTCCGTCCGTCAGCCAGTCTGTCGTGTCTGCCAGGGCGGGTCCGGGAGTGGCTGGCCGCATCGCCACAATCCGTCCCTGGCCGGGAGCACGGGCCAAATACCCGCCCCTCACCCACCCCGCCCGCTGGCGAGCTGAGGTCAGCCGTGGCGGCGGGCCGCGCTCCGGCGAGCAAAGCCTACCGGCTCTGCGGCGACCTGCAGCGCCATGAGTCTGGCGTCACGGCCTGGCAGCTGGCCGTAAACTGTGGCCCTGTCGGGTGCTGAGTGGCCGGGGTCGGCGGCCGACTAACGACGGCCGCTCGTCACTCCACCGGCGGACAAAGTTCGCCGTCGCGTCGTGTCAGGGGACAACTGGTGTCCTCGTTGCGACGGGGTATCGGCCGCGGCCGGAGAGAGACGGGGCGGATACACCGTCCCCGTCTGGCGAGCGTCACCCCGGCCGCCAAACCGGTCTCACAGAGGCCCTACTGAGTCACGGCGATGGGAGAGAGAGGGCAGTCGGCTGAGGAGAGAGGGCGGCCTGCTGGAGAGCAGCGGCCGCGGGTGAGGCGCTGCTCCAGTGCAGCAGGCGACTCCGGTGCACCGCCGCGGCTGCTTTCATGGCCCGAGGGCGTGCCGCTGGGGATGACCTCTGACCGGCTGTCGAACCGCCCAATGAGTGGGTCTGTGCCGACGGCCGACCGTTACTTCCATCGCCGGCCCGGCCGCACCGGTCAGCCCATCAGGCGGCGTTTGCGGCGGCCGCAGTGGCGGAGCGGGGCCCACCAAACGGCCGGCACCTGCTGAAGACCGGCCTGGAATTAGTCGCCGCCACGGAACTTTTTCGCTTCACGTTTGAAGTTTGCCTGTCGTTTGCTCTGATAGCTGGAGCGCAGAACTTTGCCAAAAGTTAGGTGATAACAGTTCATAACTCATGTGTCCCTTGTGAAATGCCGAAATTAGTTTCCCTGCTATGCTGTAGTGGAAATTTATTTCTGAAAATATCGTGTTGAGGCGTATTTCAGGTTAAACTCATCGTGGCTTGCATCATAGGATAGTTGCCAAGGAAGCGGCAAAAGCCCTTGAAAGAAGTGCTCCAGTAAGCGGATTTGGAGCAGCATCAAAACCAGCAATAGAAAGCTCTTTAAAGCCGTTTGAATGCATCAACCCACTCCAGCATGCAATGCGTTGTATCGAAGCTATTATCGTCTGCATTAGATTCAAGTTCCACCGTTTTCCCAATTTATGGCCTCTGGCACCAGAACTGAGAGGTCTACGCATCAGTCCAATGGAGCTCCGTCGTAGTCTGTGTGCTGTATGTCGAGTGGTGCTACATCGGTTTCGTGTCACTCCGATGCTGTATATTTACATCAGCGCTGGGCTGGAATCCGGCGGGCCCCTGGCAGCCGGCGGCCGAGCGGGCCCGCTGACACTGACCGGCCGCCGCTCGATAGCCGCCGGCCGGCCGGCCGGTCATGCCGTGCTTCTCGCTCCGTCTGAATAATGCATGCGGCCGTCCCACCTGGCCGAGCCGTGTTTGACGCCACGCTGTGCCCGAGCACGCCCCGCGGCGGGCCGAGGCCGTGCTCGGTAACTCGTGGGAATCACTCAGTTGGTCGGCCGCGCCGTATCGCCGCCCCGCCCGCCCTCGCGCGGCGAGGAGCGTGCCGTGGCCGGCGGACCGCGGCCGGCGTGCCGGGCGTGCCGCCGATAGCCCGGACGTGTTATCGGCGGCGCGGCTATCGCTCCGCGGCGCGGCCTCGCCCGTCGACTGTGTCGCCGTATCAAGACACTGACCTGCCTGTCCGACCCCCTCTGAGGGGGGACCGGTCGTGGCCGCTCGATGACAGCACATTGATTGCTGGCCTGGCCGGCTTGGCCAAGTAATGCACAGCACGTGGCCGCCGGCGTGATACCAGGAAAGCGGATCGGATCAGGGGGGACGTCGCGATAGATGCTGCAATATGAACGGCGCATGTCCGCGAACGTGGCCCTTATTATGTGTCTCCGTTATTGGGCAGAGAGTAATCGCGTCAGATATGATGGGATCTAGGCCGGCGTTTCGTCCGATCAGTTGTTATATCTCATATCAGTTGTATGTCTACTAGCACGCCGCTCAAAGATCGTCTTACAAATCGGAGCAGCGTGGACAACGCCAGCATTCTTCTGAACTCACTTATTGTGAAATCCGATTGCTGCAAGAAATGATAAACAATGCAGAGCATTTCTCGATGCGCCCGCCTTTTCTATTAGGCGTCCCATTTCTGTCGCGATATTGCTCGCTTCTCCCTATCGCTGCGCGATTGGGCTGTCTCGGCTCGCTGGTTACATTAGACGACTCTGCGTGTCGCCGCTCTCTGTGTAGATGTGCGCCGATGGACGCGGCACCGCCTTTGTGCGGGGGCCGAGCGATGTACGCCGCGGCGCAGTCTCATCTCCCGGCGGTACGCCGAGTGGCGTATCGACCCGACCCGCCTGCCGGCCGGCCGTCCATCTATTTCTGTCGACAGCTGTGCAGGTGCGTGACGGCCCCAGCGCCTGCCTGGCCGCCTGCCTGCCCGCCTGCATCTCTTGCCTTTCCATCGTGGCGTGCCCTACCAGCACGCTGAGAGCGATGGCTGTCCGACTCTCCCCAGTTGTCACCAGCTGGAGACGGCCTGGTCCGTCGCCTTGGGCTTCACCTTAGTGGAGAGCGACGCGACCAGAGATACCACAGAGATGCGTGAGGCAGGCAGACAGCATTCCTCTTAACGTCGGGAAATTCCTTGTGGTCATTCTACCGCAGGCTCTGAAATTCTCGGGAGAGTTGACGTAGCGAGACAGTAGTGTGGACTTCATGGAAAACTCTGAGCATTTGACGCTGATTTTCTCTCGTCCTGACTGCTGGTCTGGGAAGCTGACCATATGGTCCTGTCCCAGACCGGCTGGGCGTCCACAAACCGGGCTGTCTGGAGTGGAGGCACGCTGCACCTGGCTGCGGGTGCTGAGTCGGCTCTGCGGCGCGTGACGCAGCTACGACCGGCCTCCCTCCAACTGGTCCGTGTCCGAAACTGTCCCTCGGTCGCCAGCTTCTTTGTGCGAGTTTCTCGGCGAGTTTTCGTAATCGTGATGTTGGCTTTCGTCACTTGTTCGCCATAATATCTCCTCGGGCAGGAAAGTCGCCCGAGCGGTTCCATCAAGGAAAAGAGCGTCGGTAAATGGACGTAGGATTACCTCTGGAGACCGCTTGTCATTCTGTGCCGTGTCCCAGACTGAGCTCCGGGGAAGTCGCCGCCTGATTGGCATTCGCCGCAGCCGCTCGGCAGCCGGCGGCGAAAGGCCGAACACTCCTCTGAAAACAAGCCGCGTCGTCTCGGACGGCCGACGTGGCGACGAGCGGCGAATCGATAGACCCACCGACCACCGCACCGCGTGGTGCCGTGACGAGCTGTGTTGTGCTGTGCTGTGCTGTGCGATGTTTTGTTGCTGTGTCGAACGGTGCCTTGTTTTACCGTGCCGAGTGCGCCGTGTCGTGCTGCGTCATCCGTCTGTTCGTCACTCGTCACGCCCGACTGCCGCGGCCGCAGGCGTTGACTGTAAGTGTACAGGTGGTGACACGGCGGTGGATCGAGGGACGGGAGGGGAGGGGAGGGTTACGACAGGCCCGTCCCGGGCCAGCCACACGTCTCTCCGCACCAAGGTCGGCTGCATGACATCAGCGACCATCTGTGCAGACGCGCGGTGCGGTAAACAGAGGGGCGACACCTGCCGCCGACGGCGCCGGGTGCCGCAGACGGCAGGGGGGGGGGGGGGGGAGGCTGCTGGGTGAGGAGACCGAGTGGTGTTGTGTGGCGGAGACGGGGCTAGTTGCTGGGCGAACAAAGACAGCGATGTTTGGGCGTATTTGAGGCTTCCACAATCCACACATCTATAGTGGCTTCCGAAGCGTTCGTCATTACCGCTGAAGCCTGATGAAAACATTACATGAATTAATACTGGCCGGCCAAAAGCCCCTACTCAGAGTTGGCCGGTCAGCAGCCGCCGCAGTGAGCCGGTACGATCAGCCCGTTGCTGAACGATAGGGGACGATATATATCTGTAGAGTTGGGGACGAGGGGGAGCGGTCGGCGGGCGTTTGGTCGAGATGTATGGGCGCAGCGGTCGGTGACTGACCGGGCGCGGCCCGTGTTTACGGCCGGCAGACGTCAGCCGCACCCACCCCGTTCGTGGCCGGCGCAGCACGCCCCGGCGGCCGTAAACGCTTCCGGCTGCCTGGGCGACGGGCTCAGCGTCACGGGCACGGCGTCACGGGCTCAGCCCATTGTTGGCGCGGCTGTGTGACGCACCGGGAGCCATGACGGACCGGTGTCAGCGAGCCGGGACCGTGGCGGAGATACCGTGCTCTGGAACTGGGGCGTGCCGAGACCGCCGAGCGCGGCCGCCCCGTCACGGCCGGCGCTCTGTCTCCAAACAGAGGTCGCGGGCCGCCGGCAGAGCAAACGGTACCGCTGGGTGTTTGTGACAGGCTGTCAGAGGGAAACATGGGTCACGCCGCTTCGGTGTTACTTCATTATTTCTTTACTGGGTTGATTTAAGATCGAAGTTAGATAAACTAATGATTCAACAGCAGGCTCATAAAATATTTCACCATGGTTGAGACTGTGTATTATGTGCAACAAATAATTCAATCGCATTGCGTCATTGCTGTAGTACTGATACATCCTTCCAACGAATCTCCCCACATACCACATCCTGTCATCCATTCCTTGTCGTCCACCGTGGTCATCCCTCCCCATCCCCTCCCCTCCCGCCTCTATCCTGTGCGCCCGTCTCCAACTGTCTCCTGTCTCCGTTATCGGTCTCTGTGAGGAGCTCGGCGA